ATTTCTCAACCCTTGGCAGGAGGCAGACAAAAATACTCACTCCCTGCTGGCCACACAGCAACGGACAGTCTGACAGACAGTCAAAAGGACCTTGTTTGTTTTCTTTAAATCTCCTGGCCTTCCCTGGCTTCCCAGTTACACCCGGCTGACTCCCAGAGTCCCTCAGAGTCCTACACATCACAGACTTGTTGGATAAATCATTCCTGCTCTGAGATCTCCAGTTCAAAGGGACTTCAGACATCACCCAGTCCAACTCCCTCCTTTTAACAGTGAGGACATGAAAACCCAGAGAAGTCATGTGGCTTGCCCAAAGTCACACAGCTAGTAAGTAGCAGTACAGGGATTTGAACCCGGGCCCTCCAACTCCCCACCTAACACATTCTCTCTAGTACTCTGCTGCCTGAGAACCCTGCATCGGAGAAAGCCTTATTTCCAAGATGTTAAGCCAAACACAAATGGTAATGGGAAATTTAGTAGGAAGAACAGAAACAAAGGCTCATGGGAACAGAGAGTTAAGAGCACAAAATCCCAGAATTTTCATATCAGAAGAGCCCTGGGGCTATCTAGGCCAATTCTGTGATTCTGTGACCCCAAACAATTCCCTGTCCGTAAAATGAGAAGACCTCAGCGCTCAAGCTTTACAATATGATATGACATGATATTTGACCACAGGTGCTCGTCACAATAGCCCTGACAAGCGGTCATTGTCTTTGCCTGAATACCTTCCAAGCAACCTGGGCTAATTAAGGACCCAGTGAATTGGGGGAGTCCTTCCTTCTATTGACCCTAAATCTACCTCTCTGAAACAGTTACCTATTGTTCCTACCCTGGGGCTTCAAAGTCCTTAAGTGTTGGGCAAGACCCTGGACACATTCTCCACTGCCGGACCTGAGTATCCCTGCCTGCAAAATATGTCTCCTGACTTGATTCTTGCTCATTCATCTGTCAAACGTTTATTAAATTCCCACTGTGTACAGATTCCTAGGTGCCCTACTGGAAGAGATACAAAGAGATACAAAGTCCCTGGAAGGGACTTCTATCTGTATACTTGGTTTTCCCCTGCTGAAACAGTGTATAGGCTTCTTGAGGGTAGGGATTGTTAACTATCTGTCTTTGTATCCCCAGTGCCTAGCACACGGTAATCACTTACACGGGATTGAATTGTAGGTACCTTAGAGATCAATCATTCTGCTCCAATGCCTTCATTTTCTAGAGGGGAAATTGAGGCCCAGAAAGGGAAAATGATTCACAAAGGCAGTAAGTAAGATGCAAGTGCCAGGTCTGAACCCAGGTTTTCTGCCTCTGAATCCTGAGCTCTTTGTCCTACAGCATACTACCTTGAGCCTAAAAACAGATCTGTTTGTAGATGTTTATAAACAGATTACAGAAGGGGGGAAGGGGAGAGAAAGACAACAGAGTTCTTTAACCTGTGAAACAGCTAAGCACCCAGTTAAGTGACATCTTAGTTTTAAGAGTCATAAATCCAGTTCCAAATTGGCAATGAGCTAATTCCTAAGAGAATCAGACATGGGGTTTTCCTTGAGGAGGCCTCTTAACAACAGAAGCCACAACACGCCTGTTTCTTAAAGTCAAACCTTATTGTGAAACAGGGGGTTACCACAAACTGGATAAACCTAACCTGAATCTAGACTCCATCCAAATTAATCATTCTGGTCCTCAGAGTCAGGAAGGTGCCAAGGGAGGGAGGAGAAGTGGAAAAACAGGAGGGACAAAAGGGAGGGGTAGGGGGGTAGGGGTGGGGAATGGAGAAAGGCAGGGCCAGAGAAGGCCCCTCAGGGGCCAGCCAGTCAAAACCCCACCTGAAGAAGAGGCCCACTAGAATACATCCAACAAGCAACCTTCCTGTCTCTGCTTAATGACCTACAGGTAGGGGAGACTCTGCCTTCTTTGGCAATCCCTTTTACTTCTGGCTATCTCCACTGGTCAGGAAGTTGTTCAATATATGGAGCCTGAATGTACATCTCTGTAACTTCCATTGCTGCTCATTCTTCTCTATAGGGCCAAGGAAAACAAATCTAACTCCTTTTTTCCAACATTATGCTAATTCTTCAAATACTAAATGACTGCTATCATGTCTCTCCTCTCTTCTCCTTTACCCAAAGTCTTCTTTTCTCCAGGCTTCTTCTCTCCCATTATATCCTCCCTGATAAATGCCTTAGTTGTTAGGGAAACAAACACAGTTGGGTTGCTCCAGATAATATGGTTGGGGCTGGTTCTGAAGGATAAGTACCACATGATAAGACAAGCATTTGCTCAATACCTACTGTGTGATGGGGAACTCATTACCCACCCTGGTGCAGCCTACTCCACTTGTGATGGCTCTAATTGTTAGGAATTTTTCCTCCTTATAATCAAGCTGAAATCTGCCTCTCTACCCCCCTGCAAGAACACACCAGCTCCAACATAACTAAGTCATGGTCTTCAAAAGATGCCTTTCTCTTTCTCTCTGCCTCTCTAAACCCACCCACTCTTTAATGCCCAGCTCCAGGCCTACCTCTTCTCCAAAGCTCTCTCAGACTGCCACAGGTCTCTCCCCCTCCCCTGAGCTCCTACTGGGGCTCCTCCTGAAGACACTTACAGCCTATGCCTCTCATTTGGTGACTACCCTGGTCTAGCTGGAGTTAATTCAATGAGCGTAGAATGAAAAATAAATTTTAAAAAAACCACTGGATGAATACTAAAGAAATGCCACCGTGAGCTAGGCACTGTACCAGGTACTGCCAGTACAAAGGCAAAAACCAGTCACACTCATCTCAAGGAACGCGTGTTCTCCTAGAAGGAGACAACATGTACACAGATAAATAAATACAAAGTATAAACAAATAACACAGAAGTCATTTCAAGAGCTACTGAGCACTAACAATGGGGGAGGGGGAGGAGCACGGTACAGAATTAGGAAAGGTCATACGTAGGTGTCATCTGAGCCATACTTTGAAAAAAATAAGCTAAGGATTCTATGAGGCAGAAGTGAGAAGGAAGCAAATTCCAGACAGTGGGGGGTCAGCCTATGCAAATACCTAAAGTCAGGAGATAGCTACCTTCTCCAGGGTTTAGGGCCTCTCTTTGATTTATCAACTCACTAAACTTCTCTTAGTTCTAGAGCTGAAAGAGATCCCACAGGCCATCTAATCCAACCCCTTCATTTTACAGATGGGGAAAATGAGGCCCAGGAAAGTTGAGACTTGCCTAAGGTCACACAAGTAGTAAGAATCAAAGATAGAAGCTGAACCCAAGTCTTCTGACTTGGAAGCTCTGTGAAGCAAAGGATTGTATCTTGATCTTTGATGATTCCGAAGCTCCAGCACACTTGTGCTTGATGGCATGGTGAAGAAAAAGTTACATCCCTCATTGTCCTGAAACCCAGAAGGTCCTCTTTCCCTTTACATTATTCCTCCCAGATTTAAGGGTACAAATTTGATATCAATGGGGCCTGAAAAACTCAGACTCTTTGCCTTCCCCTTTCAAATAATCTGAGCTCTGATGATTCTCAATAATAATAAAAATAATGACAGGGTGACAAATCCCACCTCAGTCAGGAGGACCTTAGGAGTTCCTCAAATGAGCCCCTGTGCATCCTGGGGAGCAGCTGCTCCTCATTCACTGTCTTTCTTGCTGTTCGATGCTTCCCCCATGTTAACAACTTCAGAAAGAAGCCCAGAACTCCCTAAGCCAGGAGCTAAGGATGCAAAAGCACCTGCGAAGGCCCTGAGAGTCAGGTGCCCCACCCCCTACCCAAAGACAGAGCAAACAGGCCGGAGAGCCAAAGTACTGTCCCAACCAAGCCTTTCCATCTCTCCTGAGTTCCTGCCCAGACATCTGCTGGAAGCCCTTTCCAGAGGCACTGTTCTACATCTATCAGAAAACCAGGGGATGGAATGTTGCAAGGGAAGACCCTGGTTTATGGACTGACCATCAGCCAGGGCAAGAAACTTTAAACAAGAGAAGGAACAAAGCCAAAGTTCCTTTGTCAGGGCTAAGAATTAGCAGGTCTCAGCAGACAGAGTAAGAAAGCTGGAGTGCGAGCCACAGAGCTACACTTTAAAGGAACGCTACGTGTGACCCTTGGCAGGTCTTTGGCTCTCTGAGCCTCAGTTTCTCTTTCTGCACAATGAAAGGATCTCTAAAGTCCTTTGGCTCTGCAGATCTGTGGCTCCATGTGGCTCCTACAACAGAGCTGGATTGGGACCTTGGAGATCCTCCTGGCCAACCCCTTCACTTCATTCCAAACCATCTCCTCCCCTATAACTGACCCAGGCTGGGCCTCAGCCCCTCCCACAGCAATTTGGAGTTGGGAACAACCACAGAGAAAACCCTTGCAAGGCACACACTGGGATGGGGATGGGGGGTGGGGAGGTGGGAAGGGTTCATTCATCAGGCTGCTTTTCTCAGGACCACTGGCTAAGACTCCCAGAGGAGAAAGGCAAAATCCGGGCTTTTAAATGTAAAGCCAGACATTTCTAAGAGCCTCAGGACCTACTCCTGGGGCAGACATTCCTGAGATTGAGAAGGGGTGAAAGAATTCTTCAGCAATCACTGGCCAATGCCCCATAATCTCCACCAGGTCAAAGCGGTGGTTGGTGCTGGAGCTGAGGGCACTCTGAGACCTGGAGACTCAGGCTATGATTAGATCTTGCTTCAGGACACCCAGGAAGGGTAGGGGATGGGGAGAATCAGGAGGACAGAGCTGAGTGGACCCCCAGTGGGGGCTCACAGAGGACACGAAGGAAGCCAAGGTGGTCCAAGCTAAGCTACAGAACCTGGGAGATGTTGGACCTGCCTGAATCCTAAGGTTGGAGCAGACCCCCGGGGCCCCCCAGAGAAACCTGTAGCTGAACTTTGGGAGGTCAGAGGCCAAGGTCAGCTCCCTGAGACCAGGCCGTGGCAGCCCCAGCCTGCAGGGCTGCACTGGGGGGGCCTCTCGAACGCAGGCTGCAATAGGGACAGAATCGGGGCCCAGGGAGAGAGACCCTAGGACTCACCTTCTCCAGAGATCAAGCCACACGAAGTGCTCAGCAGCAGTAGCAGTAGCGGGGGCAACCCGACAGTGAGCGGCCGCACGGCCCCCATGGCTCTGGGGACACAGACCGACTGACAGCCGGGGGGCGGCGGCAGACGGGTGGGCGAGCAGTGGGTCAGAGGGCCCGGAGCGGGCGGGAGCAGGGGGCGGCGGGCTCCATCCCAGCAGGGCAGGGAAAGGCAGCGCGGGCCCAGGCGGGCCGTACCCACGGTGCTTTAAACACCCCGCGCAGGAAATGTGGAGGGGGCTGCCCCCCCGGGGGCACGAGAGGGGCCCGGGAGGGGCGTGGGCCGGGGCCACTTCACTCCTCACCTCCGCCGCCTCCTCCTCCTCCTCCTCCTCCTCGGCGCTGGCTGGGCCGCGTCCAGCAGCAACCCTGCGCCCCGCCCGCGTGCCCGCCCCCTCCCCGGAGATCGCGGCCCCGGCCCAGGCCCTGTAACCCCGGCAGCCCGAGGCTGGACAGCGCGGCTGTGAATTGGGCACTGCACTCAGGCGAGCGGGCCTCGGCCGCGCGCGGCCCCCCAGGTCCCTGCTCTGGCCCTGTCCCCTCCTTCTTCTCGGCGGCCCCTTCCCCGCAGGCACCAGCGCTCCCCGCTCCTTGCTCCCCGCTCGAGTCTGGCCAGTAAACACAGCGGCCCCGTCAGCTGGGCTGGGCTGGCCCTGGCCGGGGCGCTAGAAAAGACGGCGCGGAACATGAGAGGGCTGGAAGGGAGGGCGCTGGGGACCCAGCGGCGCGGGGGCGGGAAGGGAAAGCGGAGGGCGGACTGGGGATGAAGGGGGCGGGGTGGGGCGGGGCCAAAGGTGGGAGGAGGTGAGGAGGAAGAAGCCCCCGGAGGAGGGGGACTGAGGAGGGGCGCAGAAGGTGGGATGAAAGGAAAGAGGTTTACGACATCCGATAACCTAAGGGCCCTTCTAGCTCTGTGTTCTAAGGACTCTTCCAGCTCGACATTCTAGGTTCTAAGGTTCAATCCCTCTCTGACATTCTGCGTCCCAAGGCCCTTTCAGCTCCCATTCTGTATTCTGTGTTCTAAGGTCTCTCCCAGCTAAGACACTCTATATTTTAAGGTCCTTTCCAGTTCTGACATTCTCTGTTCTATGACTGAATCCCACAATAAGACCTATAAGAGTTCAGAGGGAAAGTCCCCTTATGTCCTCCTTCCTCTTCTGCTGCTATATTGTACCTAACTTTTAAAGTCCAACTCATAAAGCCATCTCCTCCAGGAAGTCTTCTTTCATTTCCCTGTTACCTGGTTGGTAACATCTTCCCCTCGCATAAATATTTATTTCAAACCTCTCTAATCCACATAATACTTATTATAGCTATCTAAAACCATACGCTTCATGAGGAAATGGAGGGTGGCTTATCCAGTTTGTATCTCCTTCAGGGCTTAACACAGGGCTCTGAAAACAAAGACACTTGATAAACGTTAGGCAAAATAATTAAATGACTCTGCCCCTTGTTTTATCAGCTCTCCAGGGAGGGAGCTCTATTGGGAAGGGAGAACACGAGTTCGTTGTCCTCAACCTAAGAGGCAGTACATACCAACAACATTATCCAAGGACAGGAAAATATATTTGTCACACAATGGCTGTGAAAGTTTTAGAGTCATAAGGCAGGATCATAGGTTCAGGTCACTTCGGAGGCCATAAGTAGGGGCAGAGGGCAAGGTCACAGTTCCCAAGAATGAACAGGAAAAAGAGATTGTTTGAATTCAGAACTTAGAAGGAACTCAGCCAGAATCTATGTGAATAGTCTTGGTCTCATTAAAGAAAAGCAAGAGGATTTTCCCAAACATCTTTCTGAACCATCCCTGTTTGTCAGCCTTGAGCAAAGAAGTGCATCTCTATCTACACTCAGAGTCACAGAGGAAGAAGGACCCAAAAAGACCAAATAGTCTACCCTTCTTTGGACAGAGAAAGAAAGTGAGCACAAGAGGGGAAGACCCTGGCCTAAGGTTTCATGGGGTATCAGTGGCAGAGCTAAGTATCCTAACTCCAGGCCAGAGCACTACCAAGATAAGAACGGCTTCTGAACTGATTGTCTTCCTTAAAATAAATGCCTGTCTTTCACATAGACTTTAGTCTCTTTAGAACCAGACGCTGGGGAAGAGTAAGGCAATGCAAAAGCTCCCCAAGTCACTAAAAGGCCCTCTGGGATTTGGGAGTATAGACTTGATCAAGCACACTCCAGTAGATTTGCCGAGGACAGAAAATATTAAAAACGGAGGGAGGCTGTAAGTGTAGGAATCAGCCTAGATGATGACATCCCAAGTGGAGAGATGCTACACTCCAGAAACCTTAACCAGGTGAGAACGAACTAGGTATGAGCAAGCCCTGGGCACCTCCATCCAATCAATTAATCATGGGCATTGGACCAAGTCCTAAGTGATAATTTAGATATCTTTGAAATATGATAAAGTAGGTAGCATTTACAAAATGCTTTAAGGTTTGTAAAACCTTTAAAAGTGTTTTCTGATTTTATCCTCACAATAAGCCTGTGATGGAGGTGCTATGGCTATTCCCAGTTTACATTTGAGGTAACTGAAGCAGACAAAGGTTAAGTGACTTGCTCAGGATCACACAGCTAGTGAGTGTCTGAAGTGAGATCTGAATTCAGGTGCTCCCAACTGCAGATCCAGCACTACCCACGACAACACCCAGCTGTCTCAACAGCCTTGAAAGCCACTGGATGAACCAGAGAGAAGTGGTACCTTAATTCTGGTTTAGAGACTTGGTCTCTCCCTGCACCCAGTGGGCTTCTATAAAACCCAAAAGTACATTCAAATCCTGGATTCCATCCTCATCGCCTTTCCACTCAAGCCTCGGAAAGAGAATTTCTAGGGGGAGGTGGGAGGAATAGAGCCAGCATCAGTCTCCTCCCCACTCCACCCCCTTCAACCAGAAGAAGACTTTTGTGAACTTTGGAAGACCAGAGGATTTGGACTTTAGTGTCCCAGCGGACAGCAGCGGGCAGAAGCTATGTCTACATCAGGACTGAGAAAATATAGCTCTCTCCCTTCACTGCCAAAGTGGAGGATTAAGGGTACGGAATATTGAATATACTCTTGGTTAGTTTTACTGAACTGCTTTGTTTCTGGGTTGTTTTTTTTTTTAAGCTTTTTGATATAAAAGAGAAGTATCACTTGGTAGGGGAAGGGAGAGGGACATGTCCAGAAGTGAATGTGATATAAAAACAAACTCCAATTTTTTAAAAATAAGATTTTTAAATTTAAAATAAAACAATACACCATATATAGATTTATTTTATGTGACTATGCTTGTTTATTTTGAAGACTGTATCTTTATTTGGGAAAAAAAATAGGAGGAGAAATCTAGAGATACCATTGCAAAAAAAATAAATAAATAAAAGAAACCAAAAGCATTGTTGAAGTATTTTTAAATGCACAAAAGAGAACAGAAGGGAAGTTCAGAAGAAAACAGACAAGCAGGACAGCTCTGAAAGTTATATATTGAATTTATTCAAATTAAAAATGAGCTGTATGTAGAGATCCATGATTTCCCCATATAAAATGCTCTTTTTTATTTTAAATTGTATATGGAAATGTTCTCTCTTTTTGGTGTTTGTTAAATTAAAATTTTTTGATGTTTCATTTAAAATAAAATAATATAAATGTCTATATAGCCCCCAACAAAGTGGAAGACAGAAAGATGCTATATATAACAAAATATTCATAGCAGCACTTTTATGGTAGAAAAAACTGGAAGCAAAGTAGACATATATCAATTGGAGAATGACTAAATAAATAATGGAATGCTATTGAACCATGAGAAAGAAATAATATAAGGAATTCAGAGAAACATGAGAGGACTCGTTTGACCTGGTACAGAATAAAGTAAGCAAAACCAGGAGAAAAATATATATGGTAACTATATTTTATGTAAATGAAGACAATACTAAAAGACAGCTAAACTCAGATGAATTGCATTGACCAACCTTTGTCCTGGAGGAAAAAAATAATGAAATGTACTTTCCTCCTTTTGCTAGAGTCGGGGGGCTACTGGTACAGAATATTGAATAAACTGTCAAGTACTAGTTGTATTTGCTTGTTTAGTTGTTTTTTCTTTGTTCTGTAACCTATGCACAGGCCATGCCTTGTCATCTCTTTTGCAATTTTACTGACCAAAGAAATCAAGGGGATGCCCATCAATTAGGGAATGACTGAACAAGTTATGGTATGTAAATGAGATGAATACTACTGTGCTGTAAGAAATGATGAATGAGATAGTTTAAAAAAAAACCTGGGAAGACCTATATGAATCGATGCAAAGTGATGTAGGCAGAACTAGAAGAACAATTTACACAGCAATAGCAATATTGTAAGGATAATCAGCTGTGAAAGACTTAGTAACTCTGATCAATGATCCTCAATAATTCCAAAGGACTTAAGATGAAAAATGCTATCTACCTTCAGAGAGAGAACTGATAGACTCAGAGTACAGATTTAAGCATAAATTTTTTCTCTTTTTCCTTTTTGGCACACGGCCAATGTGGAAATATATTTTGCATGACTTCATATGTATAATGGATATTGTATGTCTTGCCTTCTCTGTGGGTGGGGGAAGGGTGGAGGGAGGGAGAGAATTTGGAACTGAAAATAAAATAAAACTGAATTCTATAAAGTGAATTATTATTTACATTTGGTTCCAGGAAGATGATGCTTCAGGGACAAAGAGAGCTGCTCTTGTGCCCTTCCCTGAGTCTCTGGGAGGGGGTGTTTTCAATCAATCAATTAATAAGTATTTATTAAACCTTCCTAACAAGAGAAGCGCCTTAATCCAGGGCCACCCAGCTTCCACATACCTACTCCAGCAAACCCTTGAAGTTTGCACCTGGCCAAGTAATGATCAAGAAATCTAATAAGAAGCTACATTACGTGACCTCTTCCATTGCATGACAAATTCATTCAGAAGCTCACAGGCAAATAGGAAAAGGGTCCCTCAAGCAAAAGAAGTGCCATCAGGGCCAAAGATAGGACATGTATGGTCTTCAAGTGTCTGTGTCCCAAGGCAGCAGGAGTAGAGGGATCTACTGAAAAAGGTCCAGGGAGAATTAAGTATCTTTGAAGACAAAGGAGTAAACCCTACTCAACAAATGAATCCCTGAAAACTAGAATAGAACAAAAAGAAATCAATGACTCTGTGAAACAGCCAGAAATATCAAAATGAAATCATGAGATTTGGATTGATCTATGGCTAGAGGACATAAAATTTTTACTATACAACATTTAAAAGTTTTTGCGCTAACAAATCTAATATGGTGAAAACTAGAAAGGCAAGGGGAAAAATATTTGCAGCAAGTTTCTCTGATAAAGGTCTCATATACAAGATATAGAGGGAACTGATTCACATTT